TTTTGTTAGTGTTTATTACCAAGGAGACTGGAATGTAGCTGGCGCTCACATCCATTATAGGCAATGTTTTAGATGAATAATAGAAGATACCTTTTATTTGATTGTGGATTGAATCTCTCAATTAATGTTGTTATGATGGAAGCTTGGAAGTCATAAAGAAGGCAATCAAAAAGCTCGAACTTTTAGACAGAGCATACTTTTGCATATGGCGAAGGCAATGAGCATCGTCTCATTGAAAAAAAAAAAATGAAACTACTGCCATAAACTCCTTCAAATCGGTGATTATTGTATAATAATTATTGTAACAGATAGTTGTTTTTGATCATTTGGAAGTAACAACTTGATTTAGCTTTTGACGATCGGGGTGGCGAACCATGGTGGTGGTCACAAATTATTTGGTTAATTGTGATCGATAAATGGGTTAATATGTGACCGATAATAATACGTGATCGATAAAATTGATAATTGTGATCAATAAATGTCATGTGACCTGAAAAAATGTGAGATTCCCACTAAATTTGCAATCATGATTCGCACATTCTTAAGTTGTAATAAATTAATTTGATAATTTGTGAATGTGAAATAAATTGTGATATATAAAATTTGCAATCTGTGACCCAAAAATAATGTGGGCTATTAATTTATAATTTGTGATTGATAAAGAAGTGTGACATAAAATTTGTGAACAAAAAATAATATAAAACTTATTAATTTGATAATTTGTAATCAATAATTAGTCGTGACCTTTAAATTTGTGATTTGGTCGAAAACTCATATATTTGGTTGAATGCACACAAAACAATCAAAATTAAGACAATTTAACCACAGACAGTCATCATAAAGACATATTTGGTCAAAATCAGTAACCAGTAGCACAAAATGTGATCACAATCAATTATAGTTAACATATAAATTGTCATGAACTTCAAATGTAAACATGATTTGTCACAAACATTCACGGTTAACAGATGTTTGGTTATACATATTACTGTTGACACATACAGTCAAAGTTAAAAAAATCTAGTCATAATCAGTCACGATGAAGACGAACTTAGTCACAATAGGTCACATTTAACATAAACTTGGTGACAAAGGGTCACAATTAACATAGACTTGATCTTAGAGGGTTACAATTAACATATAAATGGTCACAAATTTTTAAATGTTAACATATTATGTCACAAACAATAACCGCTAATAGATGTCTGGTTATGCATATCATTGTTAACGCAAATTTGGTTATATACAGACATAGATAAGACAAATCTGATTACAAACAGTCACAATGAATACAAAGTTAATCAAAAATAGTAACAGAAAGCACAAATTTTGGTCACAAAAAATAACATCTTACATAGATGCAAACATGTTATGTCACAAACATTAACCGCTAACAGATGTGGTTACGTATGTTTGGTCACATACAAACACTGATACGTCCAATCTGATCACAAATAGTCACAATGACTACAAAGTTAGTCACATATAACATAAATTTGGTCACAAATAATAACATTTTAGACATATATGATCATACACCATAACACCTTATACAGCCTAGGTCACAAATAGTCATTATTAAATAGAACCTAGTCATATACAAACACAAAACACATAATCAATAAATCACAAGTTATTTCTCATTCGTAATTTATCAAATTAATTAATTAGGACTTATTTCGCAGTAACAAATTATCACAAATTAATTCGATTTTCGAACCTTATAATTCACAAAGTGATTATGAAACATGAATATTTAATCTTGCCGTCACAAACATGAATATTTAATTTTGGATAAGTTTCTTAGTCAAAAATTATCACAAAACATGAATATTTAATGCACACTTGTCAATTCTTACATGCATAAACTGATTCCTTCAAGCATTTGCTTTTTTGTTGTTGTCCCAATATTCTATTTAAAAATTCCGCTTATTTAATCCCACAATTTCTCACTCCAAACCTATTTCTCTTTCCCTTCTAAATTTGCAATTAATCAATTTTGGTTTCATTTTTGAATTTTGTAAAACCTCGTAAAAGAGTAAATAAATAATAGAGACTGTACAGAAATGAAGAAATCTAGCATTTTGAGGCTGGGTGGTGCTTTAATTCATGAAATGATAAAATAGTGTCTATAATCTTAATAAGATAAATTACAAGGATTGAACAGTCGTCGCTTCTATAGCCATGGTCACCAACACCATATCCAACTCGACTATCGTTTCCATAACCACGACCACGACGGCCATAGCCTCCATTACCGACTTCTCTACCATAACTCCCTCTGTTAGATCTATGCCTATTTCTTTTGTTAGATCTTTTGTCTCTTATACAAGTGAAGGTCATGGACTTGATTGATCGATTTGAAGTAACAAGATGAGGGCTTTATAGTGGAGTCTTCAGAGGAATTTCGTTTACATGAGATATGGAAATTGCACTGGTAATCAAATTACTATCGTTCCAATTATAAGAGTTAAGGTCTAGAGAAGGAAATTGGCGCTGCTTACCAGATGGCAAATGGAGGGCTTCTTGGTGTATGGCGCAGTCCACTCCAATTGTTTTCTAATTACTACAGCTCCACCGCCACCACCCATGTCTACCACCTCCACCCGCATTACCTACGCAATCATCACCGTGAATCGTTACCTCTATGGCTACATTAAATGTTTCAATGGTTGGTCTGATTGTTATCGCACCATAATCGCCATTGAATGGTGCAGATCAATTGTCTGGAGAGGGGGGAAGGAGAGAGAGCGCGCGTGTGTGTGTGTAGAAGAGGGTAGGCTTGTAGTGTGCGTGAGTTAAAAATAAATAATTAACCCTTATTTATGAAAAGAAAATGTTGAGATTTGATATTTGAAATGTATACTTAAAATATAGGTTTTTGGATAATTTTCCCAAAATTCAAATCTAAACCAAATCATTTTGAACGGTTTGGAAAAACCTCAAACTTAAACCTAACGGTTTAGTCCGATTTTAAATTGTCGATTTCGCCGTATATCTTTTTGTCCGTTTACTTTTATGTCATTAATTCATTGAATTCAATATATATTTATATTTTACTAGCAATAAATTTAAAACAAACTAAACCCCTCTTTAAATAAAATTTTTGGGACAAAAAAATGAAAATTTAGATTGTTATCCCACAAGTCAATTTTCTCATTATGATGATGTGGAAAATATGACTCAAACAGGAGCTAAAGTATCTCTATTATAAATTTAAATACCAACTAAATCAAAGTGAAATCACAATAAACTAAAACATATATTTTTTTTTCATTTTTGTTCACCTTTTTTAAGTTAATGACGATACAATAACGTTACAATACAAGTTTACTAAACTAGATATAAGACTCAAAAAACATAATGATGTCCAACAAGATCTCGTGATTATCATATTTGAAAAAAAATGATACTGATTAAACAAAGAGAATAACCAACAATAATAACAAAGCAATTGTTTATAGTATCTAAACATAACAATTACACAAGTTTACATTTGTATGATGTTACGAAACGCATTTAATTTCAGATTCTTACCTTAATTTGCTCCAAAAAAATTATTGATCTGAAACTTTGTTCGTAGCAAATATTATCACTAAAGGTCTAGGATCTTTTTGTCTCCGATTTGGTATAATGGATTTCAATTTAACTTTGAAGAGGTGTAAAAAATTTAAAAAAGAAGTATGGTGTTGATGGCTCAAGACTGTGTTGGGTGTTGGCTGGAGTTTATCTAAATTCTGAAATGAAAAAAGCCTTTTGATAGATCATGTTAGTCTTGAAATTATTAGATATATATTAGGATAATTGGATAATAATAATAATAATAATAATAATAATAATAATAATAATAATAATATATGTATTAGAAAATTAGAAATTGACAAAAATGTCCACAAATGACAAAATTATTAAATTTTACTTATTTGGATGAATTTTCAAAAAAATTCATTTTTTCATTTTTTATTTTTATATATTTTTTCGCCAGTTCGGTTCGATTTTAAACCGCAATTAAAATTCTCAAACCTAAACAAAACCATTTTAATCGGTTTGGTTTGAGTCAAAACCATTTCGTTGACCGAGTCCATGTGGCACCAAACCGACTGTTTATAAAATGCAGTTTCAGTTCGATTTTGCGATTTTTACTTATAGCCCTAAGCACAACTTGTGCCGGTCCTTTGATATCTACATGGTTTTCCTTCATTTTCTAGTAAAAGGTTAGCAATGACAACAGGTCGAAATGGTACCAGGACGGCTATTACCATCACTATTTCGTTGAGATTATCGACGAGATAAGATCAAAAAATCACTTACCAACGTTTATTTATTATTTAAATACAATTTAAATTGAAAAATTTAAAAATATGATTTAAAAGATCTGAGGTTTGTTGGGGAAACTAATTTTGCTAATGTGATGGTTGGCTGGCCTTAAGGATGGCAACGAACCGAATCGAATATACTCGCGAGCTGAAAATCAAGGCTCAGGCTCGGGCTCGGTTCGAGCATTTTGAAGATGGACTTTTTTTGGCTCGAGTCGAACCGATCAAAAGCTTGGCCAAAAAATCAAGGCTTAGCCCGAATCGACTCGATTTTTCCCCCCCTTTAAAAGGCAACAGATTGCCTTTCACGCTGCCTTACGTTTTCGTTTTTTTTTTTTTTTTCTCTTTTCAAGCCTGCCCGCGAGCCACACGGGCCAGATCGGGCTCGCCCTGACACCCCAACAGCCAAGGCAC